GCCCCAGCCTGTACTGGTGCCTGGGGTTGTTCCTCCCCAGGTGCAGGACCCTGCCCTCGCCCTTGTTGAACCTCATCAGATTCCTCTCTGCCCAGCTCTCCAGCCTGTCCAGGTCTCACTGGATGGCAGCACAGCCTGCTGGTGTATCCACCACTCCTCCCAGTTTGGTGTCATCAGCAAACTTGCTCAAGCCCAGGTCGCTTGCAGCCGTACCAGATAACCAGCCCTGTGCTTGCCACCCAGTGCAGGGAATGCGAGCTCTGCGCCCCTGGCCCTCACTTTCCTGCCTTTGCCCATGCTGACTTCTCGTCACACAGGTCCTCCCTCAGAAGGGCGGCTGATGGACGTAAGGCTGTGGGAGCTGCCCGCCTGGTTTGCCGCCTGCGACTTCTCTCCCCGGGGGCTGCTTGGAGGGGTGCAGAGAGGTGAGGCTAAATTCCCAGCTTCTGGGGCAGAATTGTCCCACTTACCTGATTCACTTGCTGCAGCCAAGTGGCCGGTCTGGATCTTTATAAAGAAGTAAATAAATAGACCCAACCATTTGGCTCTGTAAAGTTCCATGGAAACCAGTGACCTCTGTTAGACCTGTGCATGATTTGACTCTTTTGCTTTTCTGTTCCAACAGCCTGGAGCAGCTATTACGACAAATACATCAACGTGAAGAGGGGCGGGCCAGCCGGGATCTCCATGCTGCTGGCTGGGTACTGCCTCCTCAGCTACGGCTGGAACTATCAGCACATCAGTAAGATTTCCCTCTTGTTAACTGTCTCATTTCAGGCAATTCCCACTTTTGCAGCAGGTGGAAAGGCTGTTTGCCATTTGTGTTAATTCAAGCTCTGGAATAACTGAAACACTTCACAGTTAAGGCTAATATCAGAGCTCTATTCTGACCCGCCTTAGGCAGCAGAGGAATTTAGCCCATAAAGGTGGCAGCAGCAGTTGCTGATTCACCGCTTCTCCCTGGAGAGCACCAGGGACTGTCAGGAGCACTTTTAAATCCTGCACAAAGCCAAGGGAGGAGATGTTCCGACACTGCCCACGACCCATTCCCTGGATTTACTCACAACCGATGGGATTTACTGGTGCTCCTGTAGTTTCCCCAGCAGGACTTGCTCTCACGCGCAGCTCCGCAGCACAGCGAAGGCTGCAGTCAGCCTCCTGCTCCTCGCTGCTGGGCAAACCACGCTCACGCAGTCCCCGAGCACAGTGCTAACCGTTCTGGGTTAGAGAAAAAATAATAGACCTCTCGCTTGGGACACCGGACACCTCCTTGACTTGGGCTGTTAGTATAGGTTTTTTTAATATATGTTTCCTCCCCTCCATTTTTCTAGAGTGTCATCGCTGGCGTAAATACCACTGAAGAAGCTGGAACAGCACCTGAGGAAGCATCACAAATATTTGACTGGAGTCAGAAGAAGTGCTCAGGACCAGCATCCCAACAGGGATTCAAGCCAGCAGAGGCCTGTTTACCATCAGAGGCAGGGTCGTTAATTGTTGAGGGGGCTGCTTTTCAGTCACCCTCCTGCAGACAGAGGGGTGACGCTGGCAGTAGCAGCCTGCGGTCACTGCTCTGGGGGTCAGACAGTATTTAGCACCAAAAAATAGAAACCATTAGAGCTTGCCCTTAGGGATCTGTTTGCAGTAGAGCTCCTGGAGTCTGCAGCAGCCCAGATCTCTCGCTTTGGGACACCAGGCCCAGGACAGTCCTTGAGCTGACCCAGTTGGAGATGTCCCTGCTCGCTGCGGGGCGGTTGGGCTAGAGGACCTCTAAAGGTCCCTTCCAACCCAAAGTTTTCTGTGATTCTATGGCTTGGGCTGTTAATAGAGATGAGTTGGCATGCCATGTCGTAGCTGGTGTGTGGCAGTAAGGATTGTGAAGGCTTGTGGTGGGGGGTTAGGCCAGAATAACTATTCCCTTCGAGTTAGCAGAGTCGTGCCCAGCACAGCTCATCTTTTACTTCCCCCTCCACAGCAAGCACCAGGGGGTTTGCTGGCAGGAAAAGGGAGATCCCTGCAAGCCCCTTCTGCAGAGGGCCCCAGCCCCTGCCTCGCTGCCTGCCCAGCGCCGGTGGGGCTGCCTGGGCTCCGGGGGAAGGAGCTTTGCGAAGGCGTTGGAGCAGGAGCAGCGCCCAGACCTCAGCGCCCTATTTCTGGCGGAAGAAAATCCATCGAATGAGCTGTTGTGCCCAAAGGGCAAACCGATGTCTGCATCAGGCAAATGAGGACAGTTAGGGGAGCGCTAGTTGTAGCCTGCTGTCACCAAACATGTCTGGAAAAGGGTTGGTCATGTTACAGGCACGAAGGGTAAAAAAAAAGCCAAGAAAAAAAAAAAATCTGAACTGTTTATCTGCAGAGCAGTGCAGTAGTAGTGCATCAGAGGTGTTTACCAAGAACTCCCTCTCCCCAGTAATAAAAGCTTTTGTGAATTTTCCTTTCCTGCGTGGTACTGTGTGTTCTCCAACACGGCGCTTGTTGTCCCCCTTCACAGGGGATCGGCACACCCTCACCCGCCTGGGAGCCCAGCCCGGGCTGCTCCCACACCCCTCAAACCTGTGCTGGCAGTGCCCGCTCCTGCTGCCCCGCTCCGCTGCACAGGAGGCAGCTGCGAATTAGGGGCTGCAACTCCTCTGCTGCTTGTGCAAAGAGCCGTGAGAGCCAGCGCTGAGCAAAACCAACTGGCTTTTCGAGTCCGGCCGCTGCCCTAGCAGCCGCCTTGCTGGCTCCATCGTGCTTCACGGTGTCCTCCTTCCTGGGGCTGCGCGGGAGCACTGGAGGGGCAGGCATCGGCTTCGTGCTGGCTCAGCCCGGTGCCGCGTTACCACGTGTTCGTGTTCACATCACAGCGGCCGGGCTGATGGAGCCAGGCCCTGTGCCAGCACAGCTCCCACCCGCAAGCGGCATCCCGCAGCCTCCCGCTGCAGCAAACCTCCAGCCCGGAGGCACACGAGGGGCTCGCTGCTGGCCCAGGCTGTTCTGCTGCATGCCGGGGGTTCATTGCCACAGAAGTCCCTTCTCCCCACCATCCCTCACAGATTCTTTTAACCCAAGCTGCCTGGGGGAGCAGGTGCCCACGCCGAGAAGCAGAGACCAGGGAGAAGCCGGACATAAGCGAAGGAAGCAGTCTCGAGCGCGCTGCAAGTCCCCATGCCACGTGCTGCCCCTGGCTGCAGCGCTTTACCCTCCCTCCAAGGCAAAGCCATCGCTCCCAGGCCTCCCAACCCCCAAACCACTCACCTTGAAGCAGATGCCTCCTTGGAGCAGGCTCTGGGGGTCCTGGGGGCAGCTACCGGTGTCCCACAGCTGCGCTGCCAGGTCCTGGGTAGCACTGGTGACTGGTAGAGGGGGCTCTGTGCATGGCACATCCTTGCGTCCACTCTGCTTGCCGGCACCCAGATGCAGCCGTGCCAGCCCCCAAGGGCAGCCAGCTCCCTGGGGGGACATTGGGCAGGAGGGGCAGTTGGCAGCTGCCGTCCCGCAAGCTCCCACGAGAGCTGGGGCAGAAGCAAGAGCTGAGGGCCGGGGGCAGCTGGCGCGTCACCCTGACGGGCAGAGGCACGGAGCACAAGGGCTTCGGCTCAAGAGGGAATGGCACAGGACCTGCCCTGCATCACCTTGGCTGGATTCGTGCTGCTCATCATCATCCCGGCCTTGAGGCTGGAGGGGGTCAGAGAGGACAGGCAGTTACTCCTGGGGACATGGCAAGCGGTACCCCCAGATACCCCCAGGGCTCGGGCAGCTGGTGCAGGCATCCCCACGGGGACCGAGGCTGTCCCCCACCCACCCGCTGCAAACCCTGCGGTCACCAGCTCAGCTTGGACCTGGAGAGAGACCAGAGGGGTTCAGGTAGCTCAGCCAAGGACCCAAAGCATTAACCCCCACACCACAAGGGCCATGGCCACCTCTGCAGCCTCAGGGAGGGGGCTGGCTGTCCCCCCAGCTGCGTGCCGAGCTCCCCCCCAGCCTGCCCAGTACGTACTGCATGAATTTGCACTGGGGTCCTTCTGGGCAGAACCCGACCAGGTAGTTGGGACACATCACCCTCCGCGTGTGCTTGTACTTGCACCGGGGACCTGCCGCACAGAGGAGAGGTTCCCGTTTACAGGGGCACAGCATCACTCCCTGCTCCACGGGGATTTCGGAGCCCAGCTTCCCCCAGCAGCCCCGTTCCCCTCCAGCTCTATGGGGTCTCTGCTGCCCCAAGCCCAAAGCTGCGTCGGGCACCCAATCCCGCTCCCAGGCAGTCCCCAGACAACCCACTGTGGTTCACCCCACTCTGGCTCGGTCACCTCGGAGGTGGCAGGAGGTTGGGCCATTAGAATCATAGACTGGTTTGGGTTGGGGGGGACCTTAAAGTTCATCTGGTTCCCACCCC